CCAGAGAAAGCATGCCGTGATAATTCTGAAACCAAACTATGCATTCTTTCTCTGCCACATAGTTTGAGCTCAATTTCTAGAAGATACATTGGAAACACATAAAGGAATATTCAATTTAAAAAGTCCCCTTGATCTTAAGGAAGACAAACTAAACTCTGAATTATTTTACTTTTCCAAATGTACATTTACCGGCTTGAGGAAAAACTGAACTGTATTAATATGTACTCTACAGAAAGTCAGGATCCAGTAGAGCAGTGACCTTGAAGCTCACAGTACTGACTCACTTATTCTTCATCTGTATGAAATCTCAAAGTAATATCCTGGAGCTGTAGTATCAGGTCAGGAAATACTTTGCACAGTACAGTCTGCTATCAGGTCTGTTTCACTCATGGTCATCCTGGCTATTTTTCTGTTACCATGACAACACTTCTCTGCACTGCTCTGCCTCTTGATTGTGTGGAAAATGAACAAGAAGACAAATGGAAAAATGTCAGACGCTGAGAAGCAGAAATTGAACACAGATGAACAGTCACCGCCGACTGGCCTACTTTGTCTACACATTACTTAAAGGCTGAGTTTGATGTGTTTGAAATGTCGCATGTCTCACTAATTTTAGTCTCAGCTGTGTATAGTCATAGAAAAGTGTGTCACTCCATTTCACAGGCCAATCCTTCACTGTCAACCCACGTTAATAAATCCAGCCGCACAGTATGAAAGTCTGGTCTGGTATTCAAAGGTTGATTTGGAGTTGTCAAAAATCTGATGGCTCATCAGCTGCACTTTCAGCTTAAAGATTTTTGACAGGCGGATCGGTGCAGCTTCTGCAGTAATGCGGTCGATGTACCGGTCCGTCGTAGTGAAGAAGGAGCTGAGCTGTAAGGCAAAGCTCTCGATTTACTGGCCGATCTATGTTCTGACTCTCACCTATGGTCATGACCCAAAGCTCATGACCGAAAGGGCAAGATCCCGGATACAGGCGGCTGAAATGAGCTTTCTCCGCAGGGCGGCTGGGCGCACCCTTAGAAATAGCGTGAGGAGCTCGGTCACCCGGGAGGAGCTCAGAGTAGAACCGCTGCTCCTCCACATCGAGAGGAGCCAGCTGAGGTGGCTCGGGCATCTGTTTCGGATGCCTCCTGGGCGCCTTCCTAGGGAGGTGTTCTGGGCATGTCCCACCGGGAGGAGGCCCCGGGGAAGACCCAGGACACGCTGGAGGGACTATGTCTCTCGGCTGGCCTGGGATCCAAAACCTTCAGCCTGCGTCTCTTGAGGTATTCCATAGTGGATTTCGAGGTATGTTTAGGATCATTGTCCTGTTGTAGAAGCCATCCTCTTTTCAGCTTCAGCTTTTTTACAGATGGTGTGATGTTTGCTTCCAGAATTTGCTGGTATTTAGTGGAATCCATTCTTCCCTCCACCCGTGCAATGTTTCCTGTGCCACTGGCTGCAACACAACCCCAGAGCATGATAGATCCACCCCCATGCTTAATAGTTGGCAAGGTGTTCTTTTCATGAAATGCTGCTCCTTTTTTTCTCCAAACATGCCTTTGCTGATTGTGTCCAAAGAGTTCTATTTTAACTTCATCAGTCCACAGCACTTGTTTCCAAAACGCATCGGGCTTCTGTAGATGTCCTGTTGCATACTTCAGACGTTGGATTTTATGATGGGGACGCAGATAAGGTTTTCTTCTGCTGACTCTTCCATGAAGGCCTTGTCTGTGCAAGCATCGCTGCACAGTGGAACGGTGCACCACCACTCCTGAGTCTGCTAAATCTTCCTGCAGGTTTTTTGCAGTCAAATGGGGGTTTTGATTTGTCTTTCTGACCAGCATACGAGCAGTTCTGTCCGAGAGTTTTCTTGGTCTTCCAGATCTCATCTTGACCTCCACAGTTCCCCTGATCTGCCATCTCTTAATTACATTTCTTACTGTGGAAACTGCAAGCTGACAACGCTTTGCTATCTTCTTGTAGCCTTCTCCTGCATTGTGGGCATCAATAACTTTCATTTTCAGGGTCTTACACAGCTGCTTAGAGGAACCCATGGTTGCTGGGTGTCCACAAGTGTGTGCACAAGGTTTGAAGAGTCAAAGTATTTGTACAGCTTTGAAATTGGCATTTACCAATGACAGCTGTTGCTGTGCATCAGATCTAACGAGCTGATTAAGGTCTGATACCTTGTGAGAGACTTTGAGACTCTGGAACTCTTAGGGTGCCCAAACTTTTGCACCATGCCATAATCATGTTTTTATTTTTTATTTTTGTTCAATTTATGGCATAAGAAGTAACTATGCATCACTGTTTGCAGAAAATATTGTGCATTTTTTCCATTTCCAAGAGAAACTGTGTTAACATCTGTTCAAATAAAAAATCACCAAAATCTGTTATTTATCAAGGGGTGCCTAAACTTTTGCATAAGACTGTACATACTTGTGTGTTCAGCATTGTTATAAAGAAATTACAAAATTATTTTTGATCAAGCCAGTATGAAACTCAACACTGTTTAGATATCTCAGTGTCAAAGTCTCATCCAAATCAAGTTTTATTCTACGCTCAAATTAAAAGGGGAAACAAAGTTTCTGATTACATTCAGTGCTACTCATCAAAATCCAGTCTGTATCCTTGATGACTGACTAATGTACTGAATGAATTTACATTCTCATAAAACATCTGCAAAATTTTTTTGAAGATTTTGAAACCTGCATTGATAACATCCACGTTTACTACTGTAGCTTGCAGTCTGCTAGCATTTTTAATTTTTTTTTGCATATTACTTATACCACCATCTGTTGATCAGTGGAGTAACACGCAGCAGACATGAATATCATATCCACTGTACGCTTGTACATGTTACAAACAAACTAGTGCTCAAAAACTCCACAGGGCACCTTTAAATGTAACCAAGTTGAATCAGTCATAATCAGGACGACCGCACCCTTTTCTCTGGTCTGAAAACACAGTGTACTGCCTCTTCATAACAATGACTGGCTCATCCAGTATCAAGAGAATATGGAGA